GACATGTCAATGTATGTGAAGATATTTATTTAGACATGTGTTAGTCAATGTATGTAAAGATATTTTATTTAGACATGTCAATGTATGTGAAGATATTTATTTAGACATGTCAATGTATGTGAAGATATTTATTTAGACATGTCAATGTATGTGAAGATATTTTATTTAGACATGTCAATGTATGTGAAGATATTTATTTAGACATGTGTCAGTCAATGTATGTGAAGTTTTGGGATTAAAACACCCTCTTTACCTCAAACGGAGAAATTGCAATACATGACTCCTCTATGAAAACATTTTCTATGGATACACACATTTTACAGATACAAAGAGATGCTACATACCTGCCATGTCCTTTTTTGCTTTTATTTGATTTTATTGGAGTCGACATATCAGTGTAATAATCATAACCACCACCTGGTGTTTGTAATCTGCATACACATATCACCATAGTGACGATGACAATGATAAATGCTGTTCCTAAGCAACCACTTACAACATACAATGTCTTCATATGCTGGTTGTGTTCTGGGGGTAACTGTGTTACAACTGGATCACTACGTGTGTGTTCTAGATAAATAAGAAAACACAGGTTATATCTTCATCATAGCAGTGGTTGCATGTCCCTACTTACAGTGTTTGAAATATTGCAGTTATGCATAATAAACAGATCACATGACCATATGTAATTATCTATCACATTATTGTTATATCTTTAGTTTTGTTTTATGCCTTCATTATAGCAGTTGTTACATGTCCCTATCTGCACTAGTATTTGAGATAAGACATAATAAGTTGCATAATAAAGAGTTAATATGTACGATCATATACGGTCATGTGATGTGTGAGTCATATATTTTGTCCAATATTATATCACTGATTGCATGGCTGCAATTTGCTTGATTTTTGATGATTTTTTAACAGAAAAACGGCTGCCAGTCAGCCATTTTAAATTGGATCTGAAAAATAAATGATGAGCATTAAGGTCCCATAATGTCCAATGTATGTACTAAGTTTGAACAAAATGCATCCATAAACGCCAAGATCCAGTTCTGGAATGCCATAAATGCCTGATTTTGATGATTTTTTAGCACAAAAATGGCCAACATTTGGCCATCTTGAATCAGATCGTGAAACAAATTGATGTGCATATGTATAATATTGTGTGTCATGTATGTGTGAAGTTTGATTGTGATTGGTCCAAGCATGTCTAAGATACAGGTCCAGAGCACACATGGTTGCATAGACGCAAAAAGGTCAAAACTTGAGTCCTTGTTTTCGACTGCATCCGAACAGGGACTAATAATATAGACCAAAAGCATTAGTAATTGAAAGTGAATAATTGGCTGGTCTATTATCAACGGAAATTAGATGTAATATATGACTCTTCCAAAATTTAAATATTGGTCAGAAATTAAATACAATATGCTATTCATGCATTTTTTGTATTCAAACTGAATTTCATTTGTCTAGGCTCATGTACGGAGATATAGTGGTATGGTCAAAAAGCAAGATTACAGGCAGTCAACCATCTTTGATCTGATGGTGAAACTAATTGTCATGGATATGTATCCTAGCTTGTAGAATTTGAAAAAAAACCAAGATGGCTGCCAGTTGATTATTTTGGATTCAAACACGCAACAAATCATCATAGACATGTATATCTCAACATGTACAATATAATGTATGTACTAAAGTACCAAATAGAATAGAACAAAAACTGACAAAGCATGCATAAAATACAACATTTTAAAAAAACAAAATGGCTGCCAGTCAGCCATCTTGAATTGAATCAGTAAACCAATGCATGCGCATATGTTCCAGATAAAATACTAGACACATACAAAGAATGAACAGATTTGATCCACAGGGTTCTGGAATATCACTTCGGACAGGCTGATAGATACCGAATAATACGTCCTCGTTTTGAACTTCATTCAAATATTCATATATAAATATAAATATTCATCAAAAAATATTACCTTGACAATCAGGACCAGTATATCCCAGAGGACAGTAGCATTTATAACCATTAACCATATCTTTACATGAACCACCATTTACACATGGATTAGGATTACAATCATTGAGGTTAATTTCACATTTCACTCCTATGAATATAAAACTT